GAGTTTTTTCTTCCTTTTATCAGGGAAGTTTTCTGTCATTATTTCTTCAAACAGGTTTTCTATTTCTTGCTCAGTTTTCTCTCCTTCTGGCACCCCTATTATGCAATGTCGTTTTGTTTAGTGTTTTCCCAAATTTCCCTTGGGCTCTCCTCCTGTTTTTTAAGTTTTGTTTTCTAGATTCTGCTCTGTTTGGGTATTTTTTTCTTCCTTGTCTTCTTCCTCACTGTGCTTCCTCTAGTCTACTGTTGATGCTTTCTATTAAGTTCTTTATAGCAGCGATGTCATTTTTCATTTCTTCTTGGTTCTTCATTTCCTCTTGGTTCTTACATATACTGTTGAATTTGTCTTCCATTCTTTTCAGCGACCTTATGAACATTTCTCTGAATTCTTTCTCCGACATATTGCTTGCCTCCATTTCATTTACCTCTTTTTCTGGTGATGTCTCCTTTTCTTTCATATGCAGTTCTTTATAGCAGCGATGTCATTTTTCATTTCTTCTTGGTTCTTCATTTCCTCTTGGTTCTTATATATTCTGTCGACCATGTCTTCCATTCTTTTCATCAACCTTATTAACATTTCTTTGAATTATTTCTTCGTTATATTGATTGCCTCCATTTCATTTACCTCTTTTTCTGGTGATGTCTCCTTTTCTTTCATATGCAGGCTGTTTCTTTGTCACCCCATGATCTCTCTTCTCTGGATATCTGGTTATGTAGTTCTCTCTCTCCAGCATTGATTGAAAGGCACAAAATACAACACAGCAGGGCATAATGCACAAGGCACTGAACACAAATGTATTCATGATAGTAATAACCCCAAATAAAGGTGACCACCAGAGTAAAGAGAATTAGGGGATAAGAAAAAAAAGGACTGCAAAAATGATTTTTAGAAAAGGAAAAAAGTAAGAGAGAAAAAGAATGAGAATAATAAAGTAGGAGGGGGAAAAAACTATTTATGTGGGGAAAAAACTCCAATAGAACAACCACTAATCCCCAAAAAATGCAAACAGCAAACACCCAGAGATGAATGCAAACTACAAACAACAACTAATAACAAGCAAGGCAAAGAAAATACAAACAAAAATAAAAAACACAAAAAAGAGAAACAATCTCACAAACAAGCACCAAAAAAACCAATCTGATCAACAATCAAGCAAACAACAACAATAGGACAGAGAGAAAGCAAGGAAAAACAAAACAAAAAACAAAATCCTAGAAAAAAAAGACAAAAAAACAACAACAACGAAAAACACACAAAAAAGGCGAAGAGAGAAAAAAATTGGTTAGTGAAGAAAGAAAAGAGAGAGGTATGTATGGACTTAGAGCAGGGGATCAAAAATTAGATATAGAAGTAGGGTGAATTAACAGGGTAAAGAGAAGGAATAGGGATAATCTAAAGTAGGAATAGGGTAAGAGAAACAGTACAACAAAAAGGGAAAATTGAGGAAGAGAGTGTTGGCATAAAGATACAGCAAAATGATGCTAAAGGAAAAATGAAAATAGAATTCACAACACTAATGCCAAAATAAAATGAAATAAAATAAAGAGAAAATTAAATGACACTTTTTAAAAAAGGTAAAATAATAGTAGTAATAATACTAATTAAAATAAAAATATAATACTGAAATGGTGAAAACGAACCCCGGAAAAAAGCAAAAAAATGGGGTGCTGCTGGGATGAAGTTCCCCCTGCGTTCCACTGCTCCTCTGTGTTGTAAGCCATAGTCCTGATTTTCAAGCAGGCAGTACTTCTTTGTTTCTTAGACTCCTTTCTTTGTGTTTACACAACAGTAAATTTGTGATTCAACCCCTAGGTGTCAGTGTATCTGGATTGACCTCTGGGGCTATAAGTCCTCTCTAGCCAGTATTTAGATTTTGTTTTCCCTGTTGCACTTAATACTGGTTTGGGAGAATGGACTGCCCCAGATCTGGTTCTCTGATCATTACTCCCCTCTCTGATCCCCAGGTTCCACAAAAACAACTTTCCCCTGAAGTCTCTTAGAGTGTCCCCAATTGGGTGATCCTACATACTGGGCTTAGTAATCAAAAGCAAGGATTTAAAGAGAAAAAAAGAGCCAGAGTAAGTGCATGAACTTGTGACTTTTACCCTCCAGCACTGCGCACAACTCTGTGAATGTCTCTGTGCACGTCTTTTTTTCCCCTGGCACTAAGCAGCCAGAACACTGGTAAAATTTCAGGCTGCATTTTTGCACCCAGTTCAGCTATGGGTTTATTTTTAGAGCTCCCTTCTGCCAGCAGCCCTGAGGACCTCCTTCCACATTCGTAGATCATGCTAACCCCAACGGCCACGGATTTTGTGAGGCGCAGATTTCCTCCAAACCTCTAGATCCCCTTGGGCGCGTTTCTCTCTCCAGCCTGGATTGCAGTCCTCACATTTCCCTAGGCAAAATCTGACCTTTCCATGAGAAGGTGCAGAGCTCATCCGAGTCCACGTATTCTTGCTGCTTGAGATCCGGTGTTCCTGAGTTTGCAGCTGGTCCCTGGGTGTTGTGGTTGTAGAGTCCTGGGATGTATAGGCTTCCCATAACAGCAACTCTCCCCTTCAAGATGTCGTGGTCTCTGCAGCAGAGCGGGTCGCTCTGGGACATTTCAGCATCAGGGGAGGCTGTCAGTCAGAGGAGCCCGGTCCTGCGGTCCCCAACAGTCCCTTGGAGTATAGCTGTTCCTCACCCACAAATATACACTCAACATACATCCACACACTCTCCTTTCATTCTCTCACTCACACACTATCTTAGAGTCTGCCTTCACGTTGGCAGCCATCTTTCTCCTTCTCCTCCTCAAGAAGTTTTAAATTTTCCATCATTGGAGGCAATTTAGACTTGTTTAGGTGGTTACCTGGAGGGATAATCTATATATAGGTAAAAGGCTAATATGCTAAGTGTTCCTCACTCTGTCCAACTGGTCGCTATGATGCTCACTGACCACCAGGGGGCAGACACTGTATGCAGGAGCTGCCAAGCTGCAGTGACTTGGCAGCAGCGGTTCTTGGGTGATGTACCCTGAAACCAAAGGGTAGGGAGCCCAATTCCTCGTGGGGCTGCATGATTCCACCTTTGGCTGTGGGTTATGTTGTTGCTGGGGAAATGTTGGCCCCAAATCTGGTTTACTGCACACATGCTTTTGCGTTCCAAACCCTGTACAACAGCAACTTTGCAGAGTGCCCTCTTGCACTCTAGAACCCCTCAGGGGAAGTTAGAGAGCCAGTTTTGGCCCAATCCCTGCAGGCCAGGCCAGGGAACCCACCTGGCAGAGGGACGCCACTCATTCCGCAGACTTTCAAGCCATGATGCCACCCATCTGCAGCTGGCCAGGGAAGAACCATAGGAAGTTGGCTCCAGGTCATGTCCGGTCCATCTTGTTCAGTCCCACCCTGCCAGCCACCTTCTAATTAATTTTTTTTCAGTGTACATGAATCCATGCACCATGTCACTAGTCTAGAGATAATTGGCTCAGAGCCTACCTATTGCATGGTAGTAGCATATAAATGTTGTTTGACTGTTTGTGCACACTGGCAAAAAGCAAGTTGATTTCCATTTATGATCATTGATAATTGTAAAACTCAATTATTTATCAAACAATTTTTTATCTTCTTTCTCATTTTTTTTTAGCCTGTTGGTATTTGCAAAGGTTCTCTGAGTCAAAGATTTGAAGAAAAGAAGTTTGTCAATATAAATTGTGACTTCTTTCAATCACAGGTATTTTTTCATTCTAATTATTTATCTTTCTGTGAAGAAAAAAAGCATAATATCTATGTTTTAACTCTTCCTACCTCATCCTCTCATTTTATTTTCCTAAGATTCATCATCACCATTTTATTTAGGGAAAATTCTTACCTCTCTGAGTCATGGTTGCCTCATCTATGAATGGGCTTGCAATGCTTACCTCATTCAGTTTCTTGTGAGAAATTAGTGAGAAGATCTGGATAAAGGGTGCTGTATTGGGCCTGGCAGAGCATAAATAATTAGTAATGGTGCTATTGCTGTCACACTAGGAGAAGGGAGACAGCCCACTAAGGACTTTGAATATGCCATTTAAGTCCTCTGGATCAAGCTTGCTATCAAGCCTCTACCAGTTCTGGTTCCTGCTGGCCCTTATCTGTTTTGCTTTATAACCCTTTAACCAGAGGCCCATCCCTCTAGCTGACTCTCCTTGAAACATTCCATCAGAAAGGCATAGCACAAACCAGCCTCAGAAGAGATTTCCCTAGAGAACATTTCCTTATTGAAAGCATTTTTATTTCAGGCTCCCACCCCTAGAAGGAGAAAATTTGCTGTTTACCAGAAAGTTTTTGTTTTACCAGAAAAACGAATCCACGCACTCACCCTCCAAAGATGTGCTAAGCGGATCTGTCCAGTATCTTCCTGATCTGGATGATGAAGAATCTCAGGAAACGGATCCTGCTGAGGCCTTCCCTGTGCACCTGGATCTAACCACAAATCCCCAGGGAGAACCCCTCAATGTTTCCTTCCTCTTCCATGGGCCTATGATTAAGAAGCTATTTGTCCTACCTTTCCCCAAAGAACAACAACACTCTG